AATACAGACTAACACGGCCGCTACTCTGAAACCTGTCATAATATAAAGTGTTAAACGTTCCTTCTCAATAGGAAGTTTCCAACAAATACCACCACTTTCTGTTTTATTTCAACAAGTTGGTGGCCCATGTAACATTTATTGAATAATACAAAATAACTATTGTCAAGACACAGAATTTCCTCAGTGTTACTGTACTTCAAAGCCAGCAAAAGAAGAGTTAAAGAAAAAGGGGTAGCATTTGCTTTTTAACAACAGCTGAACTAAAGTGCCTTTTAAAAATTGCATATTTTATGTAATGGTCTAGTTGGAAGAGTTTGTCTCTAAGGGCTTGATCCTGGTCTCATTCCAGTCAATGGAAAAGCTCTGATTGACTTGAAGGATGCAGGATCAACACCTAAATCCCCATGAATGTGTTAGATTATATGACTTAATTCTCTTTGGCCAATTAGGCTCACAGTTTTATCCAAGCCATTTTATAAGCACATATTGAACATACACACATACTAGTTCACTATTGCCAGATGAAAACTTTCCAAGATTATTCATATTTAGTAACTACACACAAACTCACAATTATATACAGAATCACTACTACTCTATTGAGCTTTAATAATTATTGTGATGTTCAATGCTGATATGGCCTTTGTAACTGAAACATAAGTAATCAAAGATTAAAAAAAAAGCACTATTTTGGTTTTAATAAAATGAAAACTAATACATGAGCAATCAAAATAATTAACACTGAAATTTATCAATGCATGTATTTGCCACATGCATGTCATCATTAGCTATCAAAACTCATCATTCAGTGCACAACCTCTCTGCAGAAAATCCAGGCATGTATTGAACCTGCTCCATAAGGAGGAGGACTTTAGGGAAAAAAATTACAGGAAAGAAAACATGATCAGATGGTACTACCACCACCTCTAGAATGTCATTTGAACATTTCAACCACATATTTGAATGTGAATAAAATGTTCAAAGATTATAGAAAGTAAGCCATCATTCTCAAGCTGATCAGAAGTTATCCTACCAGTGTTAGTGTAGTTTGCTGTTTCTCTTTCCCATCAAAGAGCCATGTCTGACATTGATGCAGTTTTCACTATGGACTCCCATAATAAACAGTCCACTCCACACTCTTTATTAATGTTAACATACCACAATGAAGTTTCAGTTAATGAATTTTAATTTGTTGTTCGCAATTAACATGGAATTTTATACTACAACTTACAATAAGTTCTCCATAATAAATAACATCCTCACAGCAAAACCAGAAGAGATCAAAAATGTCTCAGCACCATTATGTAAACGCTTGATATTCTTCTTGTTGGCCAGCCTGAAAAGTAATGTGACAATGATCATTAACTTGCTTGTTTTGTGGCCTTCAGAAACCTAAACAACAAATATGGTTTTATTTTCACATAATTTATATTAAGACAAGTACTTCTCAGTGGAATTTTACATGAACTATTTGTTTCCAATTATTTTTGGATTATGTGAAACTAGTTACATTGATAATGATTCATATGCATTTTTGCGCATGCAATACATACTTTTTACCATACTGGTATTCTACACTTTCACAATATTTCTTCTCACTGTGGTTCAATACAGTTTAACATATATTGTTCCAATCAAAATAACTCAATGACTGTGGTATTTTACACTAAAATACCCCATCTTATTTTTCTAAGGACAAAAATAGTTACACATTCACTTAAAAATGATAGTAATAAAATAGTGATAGAAGATACAATTTACACACATTTTCCAAGGCAAAATATGAACAAAGTAGCCTGAAAAAAAGGAAGCTGAATACATCAGGGCTCATTTTACTTCAGGTCGTAATTTCTGTGTTTGGTACTGACTGTACTTCAGCTGAAAGTGTGCTAGCAAAAACTGCCAGGGCTTGAAAAATAACCCACTTGCCAGTGATGAGCAGAAAACTTTCCCTGGTGACCGTGACATCTTATCAGTTTTCTCCATAATTTAAGCCTTTTAAAAAAAAGTATCTACCCTTTATGGCTGCAAAGATACCCCTTCAATTTCTGAACCAGTGTTATGTTGTCTTATTGAATCTATCCAAAACGATGAGAGGTGTGAACTGACTTCAGTTCAAATCCTAGCTCTGCACTCAGCCAGAGTAGCCAGGACCAATATTGGGAATTTCTGTAGGGCTGACAGAGTCATTCTTTTCCCTCATATTCCCAAGGCTACTGTACAGCAGCAGAGATACCATGTGGATGTTAGTTCAGCCACAGAATAGCCTCCTCCACACCATTTGCCATTCTGTGAGAGTGGAAGTGATGCACTGTTAACTAGATCCATCAGCACCTTATCCAAATACCTACTGTTCCAAGAGGTACTCATGTCCCATACAGGCTCCCCAAAATCTTGTTGCATCCCCACTGAGGTTGAATTACACTGTTTCCACTAGTGGATCTTATTTACTTTGAGGATTCTTAGAATTCTTCCACCATCACTCCAGATTGGCAATAAGCATTTTTAATCACATCATTTAACACTGCCCAGAGAAGGATGGGAGAATTTCAGAAAATCCTCAGTGTAGGCAGAGCCAAAGAGAGTCCTCTATAGCTGCAGAGAATGGGTGTAATATGTCCCTAAAAGTGATATGTATCATTTCCATTCATCTTAACAGAGTGTTTATTCTAAAGATTTTAACCTCATGAAGCTGTAATATAACTGGAACTTCAAGGAAACTGCAGTGCACCACCCTCCCCACACACTGTTGGGGACTAAGTCTCCAGCTTAGTAGGCTACTGGATGGTTTGCCAAGATCTGAACTTTGTTTAAACACGGTGGTGGTCACCACATCTAACTGAACAAACTGGACAGAAATCTCCCAGCCCTCCCAAAAAAAAAAAAAGAAGAAAGAAACTACTTGGGGAAGGAGGGTTCTATATAGAGTGGTTCTCAGAAAAAAAAAATCCACAACTGTCAGGGAAATTGTCTTGGAATAACCATTTAAATAGTTGTTGCCAGAACCACTTCAGCATGGACAGGAACAACTAGACCCAGAAACATAGCTTAGTATTAGTATGTTACTCTGTGAGCAGTATCAATGAGCATCACCAGTTTATCTCACAGATTTGATGTTACCCAAAGCAGCAACCCAATAACTGTGACACTGGTGGGAACAGGATTGCTGAACAAACTGATTGTTAATTTGTAGTATTGCTCAGGCAAAAAAAAAAAAAAAAAACAACCCTGTAGAACATGAGGACAAAAGGTATTTGGTCTGGATGTACAGAGCCACCTAACATTATGTTCCAGGATTAAGACCCAGAAAAAACAGTCCTTTCATCTCAGGAGAGCCATCTTCTTCCTCTCTTCTTTGAGAAGAAATGTCAAATAGGAAGAATAAATGTTTTTTTAAAAACTTGCTGGGATAGCCCTATACTCAATGTAATTGAGCTATAAAGACTGTTAGGCGATCAGATACTAAAATAAAGAGGGCCATATATGTACTTAAGATATAACGGTAGTATTTTTCTGGAAAAAAAAAATCCATGTTCAGCCATTCAAGTGATCCAATTAAATAAATATTCTTAGGTAGTTTGTAATTACCTGAAATGCTTCTTGTTCCATAAATGAGAGACTTCACTTATATTTCCAACTTTCCTAGTACTTAAACATAGCTAACATTTATTTGAGCATGCATATGCCCAGTGACCTGGCCTGTTTATTAACAATCACTTGTCCAGCATTTTCCATTTCAAAGCACTGGAGTAATATTAATTCATATATTCATCTCCATATAGATGAAGATTATAAAATTGTTCCAAAGTACTGTATACCTATCTAATATTAGACTATGAGGAAATTTTAATGATGATCAACCAATTTACGCAATATTTCTGACATACTAAAAGGCCATAAAACAAGTATTCCATAGAAAGTTTCACTTACCCATGATATATCAGTCTCACAAAGTTAATCTCAGATCCTTGCTGCTTTCTAAACCACATTTAAGTTCTGTTGCCAGAATAAGATGCCAGTTTGAATGTACCTGAATTTATCCGCTTCATCCATTTTGTAATTTGCTCTGTTTTTCCACACAACATTCTTCTGAATCACAAGAGGAATCACTTTCAGAAACTCCAGTTTGTTAATCTGTCAAAATCAAAGTAGGAAAAGTTAACAAAGTTACAAAAAAGAATAGGGGAAAATAAGATTCATGCAAACACATGCTTCATGCCTTACGTACTTCACCATATTAGCGAGGGGTTTGGACACACCATGCAATGCCATTGTAATGTCCTAGGCTCTCAGTGTCCCCTGCACACATTAAAAATACATTTTTAAAGAAAGTTAGATAACTAAAATATGGACCAAATTAAAGTATTCAGTAACGCTGTTGTGGATAATTGAAACCTAAAGAAAGAGTAATGGACAAGCATACCTATTTGAGGCTCCTTTGATCTCAACTGTGAATGCCTCAGTTACTGTTGGTATTGCAGTAAAAGAAATCAGTAGAGTCGACTGATGGTGTGGTTGCCTCGAGGAACACGGCACTATTTTAGATAGGTTAACATGTCACTTTGTATGTAACATCATTCCAAAACAGGCAACAATGAAACATTTGTCTTTTGAGCAAAGGTAACTGCACGCACAAAAATCGCATTAGTCTGCAGGCTGCATTCTGCTACAAGTATCAAAATGTACTGACAATTTCACGGTAAAATACCTGAGACACTATATTTTCTTGTTATATCAGTGAGCTTTACATACAATTATGGAAGGCAGCAAACAGAGATGCACGTTTGCTGTGTGTGCCCCTTGAGGTTTTCAACTTTCCCACAACATACTTCAGGTTTTCCCCTCATCTGGACCATCCAAAAACATTCAAGTTGTTTTTAAACAAGGGATAAGAGCATGAATGGTATGGGTTTCTAATAAACAAAATTAAAAGTGATAATAAACTGATGCAAAATAATATATTCAGATATAAAACATGCAAAACCAACAGTGTCACTAACGTGTCATCGGTCTCTGTTGAACAGTCATCAGGCAAATCCCGCTCTTCTTTCACAGTTATGATTCTCACATCTTCGGGTCCAGAACAAGTAGATTCTTTAGACAACTGGTCATCATTGTCATACCTGTATCACAGAAATATGCATAATTAATTAATATTGCTTATGTCTACATTTATTCTCTTCAAGCATTCTGAAGGAATACATTTAACTTTGAAATATCATTAAAAGTTCTAAAATCTATACATAATGGGAAGACCAGCACCTGTTTTGTGCACATTCTGAAGTTTCCAATTTTATTAAAATGGACTGCCGATTTTACTGTACATAAACTTTCTGAACTTTAATTAAAAAGACTCTCCTGTGATCTTTTTAAGCACAGATTAAACTTTGTTTATACCAATCATGTAAAAATAGAGAATGTCACTAACGTTCCATCCGCTGCTATTAAAGAAGTGTCATCTGGTAACTCTCTTTCCCCTTTCACTGTAATTCTTCTCACATCTTCAGGCAGGGAACAGATTGATGCTTTTGACAATGGGTCACAGTTGTCATATCTGTATTACAAACATACATTTGGTATTAAATCAACTTTGAGAATAGTCTTTGGCTCATTCAATTGTAATAAAATGTGGTGATATTTTACTTACAAATCTAGTAAAAATCCTGCAACTTCTGCATCATTTCTGAAATCCAGTTTTTCCTTAAGTGTCAACCATCTATCAATATGGTTTCCCACATAGATTCTTGTTTTTCCTCTTCTTCTATCGAGACTTTGCTTCCTCTTTTTCTTTTCCAAGCAGGACAGTACAGGAGGTCTACCACACCTCTTTGCTGGTAACGACATTGTAAGCTTACAAAAACGAGAAATAATAGTAAAAATGCAGTTCATGGCAATTATGCAGATGTCAGTGTTCTAAGTCATTGCTGTAAATGCTAATTTCAAACACTGCAATATTTATACACAAACACAGGACCAAATATACCAATTAAATCAGATGGTTCAGGCTCTAGGAGAACCGAGGTTATCCTGGAGCCTGACCAGAGAGCTGCTGAGCACCTCTATCTCCTATTGACTTTAAACAAGGATTCAGCACCTCTCTGGGGAGCACATACATAACTGAACATAGATCACAATATACACCATAAGCAACATCCATGCACGCATATGTGTAGTAGCGGATTTTCAGAAAAATGTGCATTCTTGTATATCCCCCCCATCTTAGAAAAAAAATCAACTGCTAATTTTTTTAACCCCTGTGTATCCACTCCCCTTTAGTTCTCTCCCTTCTCGGGGCTCTCATTACTCCTGCAGCTCCCCCCTGCTCGGAGCAACTCTTAACCTCCACTTTCCCCCCCGTCTGCCCCATTTTGCAGCTCTTCTTCCCATGGTGCGGCTCGCTCCCTCGCGGGATGCAGGAGCCTTCTGCCTCGGGCTGCCCCGCGCGGGCGCCGTCCTTAGCCTCGTCTGTCGCTCTCACCGCGAGGGCAGGCAGCCTCAGGGCTTCACTCGGGAGCAGAGGGAGCCCAGCTCCCGGCCCTGCCGGAGCGGCCGCTGCCCTGCGGTGCGACTCAGCCCGGGCAGCGCCAGCGGGACGGACCCGTGCGGGAAGCGTTGTGTCCTGGGGCCCCTCTCCGCCCCCCGCACACGGCGCTGCTTCCCCATCGCCCCACTCCCCCCGCACGCCCGCCTCCCGCTCCCCCAGCCCCGGAATCCTCTCACCACCTCCCCCTCCCCCACCGATCCCTTCCGGGCACCTGGCGGGGCAGGGTCCCGTCTCCCAGCCGCGCCCCTCCCCGTGGGGCCGCTCGCTCGCTCGCTCACCAGCGGGGAATCACGGCGCCGGAGCCGCCGCCGCCGGCGGCAGCCGCAGCAACAGCAACAGCAGGTGCGCGCGGCCCAGAGCGACGAGGTCGCGCGCGCGACCCGCCGAACCGAGATAAACACGGGACACGTGACCACCCAGTCCTGTCGCAGGCTGATGACGCACATTTGGGGTGGGGAGGGGTAGAGCCACGCCGCGCTTACCGTCTCGCATTTCAGGCGAGCCGCAGCCGCTGACCAAGGATCCCTGCGGGCCGCGCGGACCCCGGGCAGCCCGCCGGCAGGACGTGGAGGCGGCTCATCGCGGAGAAGCGCTGCGGACACAGAGATGGGGAGCGTAAACTGAAGTGCCCCACTCACAGCTCCCTGCTCCGCACCACTGTATCTCCCCAGCCAGGCTAGTGTCATTCATCCCCCTGCTCGCCCGCGCCTTTGTCACACTGTTCAATGTCATACGCTAGCAGCAGTGACTAGAAAAAAGGTCACGAAAGGAACTCACCAGACACTTTGGCTGTTCCTCTTGGTTACTAGGCTCTGTGGAAGAGGGTAAATGGGTTCCTGGTATAAGCACACATCAGATTCATAAAACCCAGAGAGTCCACACCACTATTTTGTGATAAAAAGTTGAAACTTTGCAGTGCCGCTATCTGATAAAGTGCCAACCCTACCATCTAAATTATGAGCAAGTGTGGTCATTTTTGTTGATCCATTGCAGAAAAATGAATACATTTCACTACTTAAGTGATTAACTTAATTAAAAGTTAGAGATATTATTCTTTTATTTATATTCAGTATAAGTTTTACATAATATCTTCTATGTGGATCTAAAACAAGTCCATTCTATACAACATTCTTCTCGCAAATCAATATTATTGCTACTGATACTGCAGTAGTACCTACAGCCCAAATAGGGATCCAGGCCCCACTTGTGCTAGCACTGCACAGACACACCACAAAAAGGTGGTTGTTGCCCTGAAGGGTAAGCCATTATATGTTTGCTTTCTTCTATTACTTAAAGGCTATATGAGCAAAGCAGCATTTTTGGCACTGAACTTCTGTAAACATGGTTATCTGTATGTACACACTCACACACTTTTCAAGCACTGACTTTGGATCACAACATCTACAAGAACTTAATTCTGTCTTATGCCAGAAGAGTTCTGGCCAATCTACAGGAAGAGTTCTCACACTGTACTCTAAGTGGCAAATATTCAGACTTATTTGATGTACGTTAAGAGATAAGCATGGCTGTCTGCAAGGGAAATTGGGAAGTGCGAAATCTTAAGGAAAACAGTGACTACTCACAATCTTATTAATTAGGTCGAACCTAAAACCAGAATGAAAACAAATCAGAAAGTAGGAGCTTCTGAGTTGGATGACTGATGGAAAGTCTGATCTATTCAAAGCAAGAATGAATTGCTTTGAGATAAAAGACTGACAGCCATGAACTAGTGACCAAAGTTGACATGGAATTGAGAAACCAGAATTAAAGGTTAGAACTAGGTTCTTAGAAGTCCAACAGCTTAATTAAAATAAAATTTAAAAAAAAAAAAAAAGCCTGCAAAACCAAACTGAATTGTCTGAGTAGTAAGAGCTCTCCTACCCTTCACAGCCTGGAGTGTCCTGAAGAACATGAAACAATACTGTTTCTTAAATCTGCTATTAAAAACTAGGAGATATGTACAATAGATGATCAAATGGGTATGAAATAGGCAAATACTTGCTACAAAGGCTCTGAAAACAACAAGACTGTAGTTACAAGGTTAATAAATAGAGTAAATAGTGGAAGCTGCTTAGATTTAAAGGAAGTCCTTAAGAACGCTAACTATTCATATCCCAAAATGCCAGCCCCATGAACCAGAAGAGAAATTAAAACATTGAGACAATATAATTTTAATATTCATTTAATAAGAATATTTAGTAAATACTTTGCAAACAATATAAAATATACTGCTCTTCAAAGTACCAATTCATACTATGCACCAAGGAAATACCTTCTGTATTCAATAAGTTTACCTTTCTGAAAGGTCAGATTCAGAGCCAATAGTAGAATCTTCACCTGAATACCAGGAAACCTCATTGTATGAATGCTGACTTATCTGTTAAAAGGGAAATATTCAAATTAATCACATTAGGAAAAAATCAGAAATAGAAGATTCAGGAATAATAATTTTGAATAGAAAACTTATATTTAAAAGGTAGGCCTATGTTCTTGGGATATATTACTGTATATAGAGACTGGACACCATGAAATTACAATAATTTCTTAGGCTCTCTAGTATCCCGTGCACATATTAAAAGTACATTTTTAGAAAGATCACTAAAATATGTAACAATTAATTATCAATTCTTATGGATAACTGAACCTAAAGAAAGAAATGGATAATCATACCTACCGGAGCTTTTCTTGGTCTCTACTGTCAAGATGTGAATAGGTTTGGTGGAAGTCTCCCAAGTCGACTGGCTAAATTATACTACCACCTCCATGAGCACCACACTATTTTAGACTGATGTTATAACATTTTATAAGAATCATTAAAAGTAGACACAAATGGATACAAAGTAAATGTAAGCTGAGCAAAATGAACTGCACACAGCTATACCACTAGTCAGCGCAATGTTTGCTGGATTGACTATCCAACGTTTACTCAATCTCAAAACTAGAGGACTTGACTTGAATGGAACAGAATGTGGCCCTAAATACATTGGAAATATTTTCAATATGGACTTCATTAACTAGCAGAATCACATATGCTTTAAAACTGACAGTTACCTTAAGGCAGAGGTGGGCAAACTACAGCCTGTGGGACCCTCCTGCCTGGCCCCTGAGCTCCTGGCCCAGGAGGCTTGCCCCCCGCCCCTCCCTTGCTATTCCCCCACTCCCACAGCCTCAGCTCACTGCACCACTGGTGCAATGCTCTCGGCGGGGGGCTGCGAGCTCCTGGGGCAGCGCAGCTGCAGAGCCTGGCCTGACCTGGTGCTCTGTGCTGCATGGCAGCACGGCTGTAGTGCTGCCAGCCACCGGTGCTCTAGGCAGTGCGGTAAGGGGACAGGGGGGCAGGTGGATAGAGGACAGGGGCTGGGGGTGTGGATAAGGATCGGGGCGGTCAGAGGGCGGCAAACAGGGGGGTTGAATGGGGGCAGGGGTCCCAGGAGGGCAGTCAGGAAGGAGAGGGGGGATTGGATGGGGCGGCAGGGGAAAGTCAGGGGCAGGGGTTCTGGGGGCGGTCAGGGGACAGGGAGAAGGGGTGGTTGAATGGGGCAAGGGTCCCGGGGGGGGGCAGTCAGGAATGAGAGGAGGGGTTGGATGGGGCTGATAGGAGCAGCCGGGGCGGAGGGTCCAGGGGCAGTCAGGGGACAGGGACCAGGGGGTGGTGGATGGGGTAGGAGTCCCAGGGGGGCCATTGGGGGCGAGAAGCAGGGGGAGGGTGGAATAGGGGTCGGGGGCCAGGTCATGCCTGGCTGTTTGGGGAGGCACAACCTCCCCTAACCGGCCCTCCATACAACAGAAACCCAATGTGGCCCTCACGCCAAAAAGTCTGCCCAGCCCGTCTTAAGGGATTGTAGAATCCCTCATTGGAGTGCACGCATTCAGTGTCATAATGCACACGTAAAAAGACATCAGTAGTACAGGATGGAATGTTAGTAAGTGGTGTCTGGCCATTCCATCTCTTTCACAGTTACTTTATATATTTGGTTATGACCGTCACATGTATGTTAAAAGACTATGGCTGTTAAAGAAAAAGTTTTATATTCATTTCTGTAGGTGCCCTGAACAAATATATTTAATGCGTTTGTTTACGCAAGCTTCACAATATGGAATGGATTGTGTAGACCAGCAAAATTGCTCTGTGCACCTTTAAATTGTTGCTTAAATGACTGAAGTCCTTCCCTCCCTTCCATTCCCCCCACTCTCACTTGATCTCTCCAAAACATATTTCTGAAGTCAAGAAAAAGAGGTGCAGAGAACATTTCAGTTTGTAATAAGCAATGTTAAAGGACCAACATCAGATTCAAAATGATATTTTTAGAGATACTAAGTTTCTTCATCTGTGTTACTGAGAACCACTTACATTACTAAAACTTGAAAGATTTAAAAGACCACGTTCTTTTTCACTGTTATTTATGCAATTTATTTTGTGTAGTTCACTCAGCATACCTAACCAAATAGATTAGCTAGTTTGAATTTCCAGCTCTTGCGTCATTATGTAAAGCTTCAGTGTCTGGGTTGCAAACACAGCAAGGTACTGTTTCAATTAAAACAGTTGTTTGGACTTAATCTTCCCAGTCTATTTATTCACTTTTAATAATAGTGATTTTACAACTTTTTGTTGTGTGTGCGCGTCATGTATCCTTACATTTTGTCACTGAAGTAACTGATTCTAGCGCTTTAAAATACTTAGTGTGTGTATACACACATGCCACCTCTATATGCATACATTATAAATACAGCAGCAGCTGCCACTCAGAATTGGATTTTCAAGACCAACAGCTCTGAGTGGCTTACAGCAGCAACCACTCCATGCACAGCACTGCTGGGAAGACAAGAGTTTGGATGCTCACTTCTCCTCACCCCAGAGACAGGGGAATCCAACTGAGCACACTAGATGCAGCAACACTCCCCGCAACCTGTGGTCCACACCAACAGCCACCCAGGGAGGAATTTCAAAAGACGATATTGGCTAACAGCAGCAGCTACTCCAATAGCAGCACTTCACTGTACTTGCACTCTTCTAAATCCACTCTGTCCTTCTGATGTCAATATTACACTAAAAATCCCAGAACTCAACACAACTGACTCTTCATTGTTACCTGTCTTAAATCTGTTAATCATTAATTGATTTTGCTTTGCTTCATTGCTCTGCTGCACAAAATATCCCTGTCAACCACCTGATCCTTAACTTCCTGTGAGTATAAATAAATATTTCTAAATACAGAATTGAAATACAAGGCATCTAACTCCACAAATCTATGTGGCCAATTAACCCTACTTTGGTAACCCTCATCCTGCTTTCTCTCTCAGTCTCCAACATTTTTGCGCTCACTTGTTACATATGTCTAATTGTCACAAACTAAGCTCCCTGCAGCGAGGAGAGTGGCTTTTTTATTTTGTGAAAGGTCCAGCATGCTTTCAGGAATATATAAACAATATATACATACTTGTTTATAACTGAAAAATTAATTATGTTTAATCCATTCGTTTTAAACTTTTGAAATAAGCAGCATCATTTTCATTGTCCTAACTGTTGTGCTCTGCATTGCTGCATGAGAGAGACTTAGTTTTAATTTTGAAACCAACTTTCTGACTATACAGACCAGAAGTGATAGGGCATACTGTAAGGAGGGAACACATTCAATGATTGCAGGCTCTGTAGTACCTCACATGGTTCTATTTTAATTATTTTGGCCAAATGAGAAGCAGTACTGATGTGCCTCTTGACTTAAAGGATAGCAGTGTTGATGTGTTCACTGACTCTAGACCAGGAAAGAAGTCTACTTTTGAGTATGTAACAAGTTTTAAGAGACACAACAGAGCATCTCTTGAAACACTGAGTGAAAAGATTATATACAACTGCTTCAGGTTCTTTCCAGTTTGATTGAACCACAGCTTCTTTTTGACATGAGTCATTTAAAAACTGTTACACTATTGTCTGGAAATTTTCAGCTAATAAACCAAACTCAATTTGGATTACTAGGGAAGTCAGATTTCAGTTTAAATTGGAGAAGTAATATGCATTTCTAACATAGAAAAAATATTTAATATAAAATCCAGTCTCCAGTGGTTTAAGGAAGCAACACCATCTAATAAAACAGAGCAATAAAATTAGCTACTTCTTGCTTTCAATAAATTGCAAGTACCAGACTGAAAAACAACAGTCTTGTGAGAATCCAAGAAGAGCAGGTGTCTCAACAGTCAAGTTAACTTGTTTCCCTTTTAGAACATTTGTTGTAACTAGGAGATAACAAAACCTGGCCCTTCCAGTTATTTTGGATACCAGCAAATATTTTAAAAATATTTTTACTTCATTGAAAATTTCAAAATGTAGGGGGAAAAAAATGTATCACTAACTTTTCATCACTCTGTACTGAAGAGGAGTCATCCTGCAATTGCCTCTCTTCTTTCACAGTTCTGATTCCCCTACTTTGTGGTACAGAACAGGCTGATTCTGCAGTCAGTTGGTCCTCACTGTCACATCTATATTACAGAAGGCTTGATATTAGTAAAATATTTAAGAAAGGTTAATGTTAATTTTATAATTGTTGTCTTTTAAAGTCCCATGGCTTGAAAAATTTCCTCACAACGCCTACTCAACCATTAACTCAAGCTGCTGCCTGAGGTGAGATACTCGGGTTGCCAAATGCCCTGCCAAAATCATGCATATTTTATGTCTATTGACCCATCTTCAAGCCGCCTAATGAAATACATTATCATTACCCCATCCCACGCACCAACCAACGCTCTGCTTCTCTGCTGCTGCCTCTGCTCCTCTCCTGGAAATATGGATAGCCGTTGGCCTCCCAGGTCCTGCTTTCCTCGTAGGCCCTCTGCTACTCACTCCATCCCCTTCTCTTAAAGGAGCAGCAGTTCAGAGACTATTCTGCGACCCACTCTCCCCATCTCTAGTTCTATTAAAATAGCAGTGGCTCAGAGTGCACTCTATTCCGTTGTTCCCCCACCCCAGCATATGGAAAAAACATCACTGGCTCTAACTACTCTTCTTCTTGTCTCTCCCTCACATCCTGAAAGAGAAATAGTGGCACTTGCTCCCAGCCTCTCCATCTCTAACAGAGCCAACAGCACCATGGGCTCAATTCCACCCATTCATTCAGGCAGATGTTTTACTTACATTAAACAGATTTTTTAAAGCCCTGAAGAGTAAAATACAGTATTTAAGAAGGGGACTCTGACAGGCAGACCAATGGGTTTGGTGTGGACACCTTTTAAAAGAATATGCATTCTTCTTATTAGGATACACCAGAGCATAAAATGCCATAAATCTGATATAAGACAATAAAGCAAAATTAACTTAAGAGAAGGCTAGAAGACTTGTATTCTACATCTATCTTTATGAATATCAATTGCATAAAATAAAGTAGTATCACTAACATTCCAACAATCTCTGCTGAAGAGGAGTCATCATGTAAATCTCTTTCTTCTTTTGCAGTTACAATTCTCATATCTTCAGGTAAGAAGATTACTGCTTCTTTAGGTAATTGATCATCATTGTCATAGCTACAAGAATTAAAAGGATGGTAGTTATATGCAAGCAGCACCCAAAACATGGTAGACACTGCACAGCCATGAGATCACACAGTCCACATCCCAAGACCTTACTGTCTAAAAACAGAAAGATGCAGGGTGGAGGTAAAAAAATACAACCAATCAAGCAGAGTGGTCAGAGTGATGACTACCACATGTCTAATTAGAGAAGGTGGGTGAGGTAATATCTTTTGTTGGACCAACTTCTATTGGAGAGAGAGGCAAGCTGTTGAGTCACATGAGCTCCTTTTACTTCCTCCCCTTCACCATCTGTCCCTGTTCAGCCTTCCATTCAACAAAACCCGTCCTTCTCCACCCCTCTTCTTCACAAACACTGCTGAGTGCAACCAGATCCACAGCATAAGGAGATAAAACGAAAAAAAAAGGAACTAGCCAATCATGAAATGTCTTACCTTAGATAACTGTGGTTCTTTGAGATATGTTGTCCATGTGGATTCCACTCTTGGCACACATGGACTGCATGCACGCAAGATCAGATTATTTGGCGAGCCATGTCTATTTGGGCCATGTCTGCGCCCTAGATGCCCTCATACCCCACCCAACCATAAAGGGAAGAATGGGCCCAACCATCCTCAGTTTCTTTGCCAATACCGAATTCCAGAGGAGTAGGATTTTGTGGTAACAGGGAATGAGGGTGGATCATGGAATCTATGTGGACAACCTCTTGAAGTTAGTGTAAAGTAAGTAACTTCTTTCTTGTTCGAGTGACTGAACAAGATTCCACTCTTTATGACTAACAAGCTTCTCTTTGCTTGGAGACGTGTAGGAGTCCAACTTAAACAATGACTGCAGAACAGCACTACCAAAGCAAGGATACAATCTGGACGCCTCTACCAAAGGGAAGCATCCTGTAAAAGTGTGGGTCAAGCAACACGTAGCTGCCCTAGAAGATTTCAGAAATCGACAATCTTCAAGCAGGCATTAGAGGCTGCCTAAACTCTGGTGCAATGAGCTCTTACATGGCTGGATGTAATGGACCTAATCTACCTAAATCATAACATGTCCTTATATAGTTGGAGACCCACTTAGATAATTTCTAAGAGGATATTTGACCTAATATTGCAGTCACCTTTTCAAAGGCCACTAACAGTTGAGGTATGTTTCTGATTGGTTTTGTCCTGACAATACACACAGACAGTTAACTTACTACATCGAGTGTGTGAAGTTTAGTTTCCCTGAGGGCTGAATGAGGCTTGCAAAAGAAAACTGGGAGATGAATGAATTGTTTTACATGGAATTTCTAAACAAATTTAAGCAGGAACTTGTGATGAGGCCTGAGATTTACTCTGTCCTTATAGAACACTGTATAAGGTGGACCTGCCACGAGGGCCTGAATCTCTCCAACCCTGTAAGCTGATGTAACAGCCACTAAAAAGGCAAATTTTATAGATAAATGGTAGAGGGAACAGGTTACAAAGGGCTCAAAGCAGGGAACTCACCAACCCTGCCAATATTATACTGAGGTCCCAAGAGGGATGGGGAAAAAACATGAGTAAAGCCCTGAAGGAACCTTACCACTGTATTGCTGCTAGACAGACCCTTATGATACTGACAGGAAGGCCCAGATTGTTTCAGGACTAAAAAACAAACCAATATTGCTGAGATGTTCTCAGGACAGAAAGCTGGTGCTGAGATGCTCAAAAAGCAAACCTCTCCCACTAGGTTTTTTAAGTTAGTCTAGCTGAGGCTTTTCAGCTTTGGAGCATAATGTTCTGAACTTCAGCTGAATAGCTTCTTTTGGTGGGTTTCTACGAGCCAGCATCCAGGATGCTGCAGGAATTTGGATCCAGATGCAGGGTTTGACCACTGGTCTGCAAAATTAAGGAAGATAGGGCTGCCCTTAAGTATTTAATTAAAAAGGTTTTTTTGTGCCAATTACAAAAGACTAACACTAACTATATAATAATTAACTATCCTAAAGACACACACACTATACTAGTGAAGTGTGCAGAGAAGCAAGGAAACTGCAGCGGTTCAGTCTTTTGTGACATGGGCGGTAAGAAGGAACTGAGAGCTAGTTGGACTCACGCTGCCCTTTATGTCCTCAGTGAGGGGGCATAAGGATATCTAGTGAGTTGGTACAGCCTCAGTAGACACTGCTGGCCAAAAGAATATGATATTGTGTACCTGGGACATATGCACAGCACGAATGGAATCCATGTGGACAATCACTCAAAGAAGAATCCCAATATTCAACATAGCACAAGGTTAACCGTTGAGTACAGCAAGAACGAGTGTTTATTAGTGATCTGGAAAAAAGGCAGCGAGTAATGACATGGCTGAATTTACAGATGACACAACATTACTTGAGTTAGTGAAGACTAAAGACTATTAGGACCTTCAAAGAGACCTAATCAAGTTAGTTGAATGGGCAACACAATGGCAGATGGAATTCAGTGTTGCCAAATGCAAAATAATGCCCATTAGAATGAATAATTTAGAACTCAGTGTATTTAAACTTATCTGCCAGCTCAAGAAAAAAAACCTGTGCATCAGTATGGACACCTCAATGGAGACCTGTTGCTCAGCAGCAGTCAGAAAAGGACAATTGTTAGGATGCATAAGGAATAAGATGGAGAATAACTAAAACTATATATAGCTATTAACTAATGGTACAGTCTTACCTAGAATACTCTGTTTAGTTCTGGTCACCCCATCTCAAAAAGATGTAGTAGAAATAAAGAGGGGATTCAGAGATGGACAATAAGAATTATTACAGCCATGGACTATCTTCATAAAAGGACACTAAAAAAAATTCACACCTTAGAGAGGGGGTAAATAAGGAAGAGATGTAGTAAAGGTGTACAAACTAATGACCGGTTCTGAGAAAGTAGATCAGTCACTGCTACTCACCCTCTCATTTTACAAAAACAAGGGATCACTCACTGAAACTGAAAGGTGACAAATACAGAATTGATGAAAATTTAACACAACACTATTTGCCTATCAAACTTGCTAACAAAAGATATAATTGAGGCCAGAAATATAACAAGATTCAAAAAGAGAATTGAACATACATATAACAAAAATATCGAGATGTTGAAGAAAAAATTTAAAAATAAAATCAAGAGTTTTGGAAAGCTTCAGGGCATAAATCAATCTCTGGGGAGTTAAGACGACAATCTACCTGGAGTAAGACTATTCCATAATTGGGACTGCAGGGTTTTTTGGAACCTTCCTCTAAAGTAGCTGATACTGATGACTACTAAACAATAGAGACAGCTGGTCTCCTCCAGTATGGTAATTCCCACATTCTGAAATGGTACTATGATGGAGTTGGATTTTGAGGGGAACAGGACATCAAAGGCAAATCCCTCCTGGAGTCTCCTGCCACTATCCTGGGAACCTTCTACCACTTCTATCTAATATGCAACATAATAATTATAATAAAAAAAAAAAGGTGATTAGTTTCATATTCATGCAGGTGAGGTACTATTTTACTTACAGATCCAGCAAAAATCCTGCAAGGTCTGTGTCACTTTTGAAATCCAGTTTTTCCCTTAAGGTCAGCCATCGGCCAATTTGATTCCCCAAGTATATCCTTGTGTACGCCACCCTTTTATCAATAATTTCTCTCCTGGTTTTCTTTTCTGAAGACGGTAATTTTGTTGGTCTTGCGCATCTTTTTCTCGGCATTGTTGGCTTTTAAATATTAAAGAGAAAGAATGTCAGCAAAAGCAACCGTCATAATTAGTGCTTACGTAGTGCTTCACATGTTCAAAACAAAGACCTTAACTAATCACTTCACAAATTCTTTGCGATATTCAATTTGAACTCCCGACCAAAAGCTCCAAATTAAGTGTTTAGCATTAATACTTTGAACAGTTAGATTTTTACAATTCTGCTTTAGCAACACACTGTCTTGCTCTTCATGAACATGAATCAAGCTCATCAATTTATTTCATATTTAAATATAAAGGATGATTTTACAAACAGTAGCAGACCCTATGCCAATGCTGCTAGAGCTAGGCAAAGATTTGGTAACTGTTCACAGAAAAGTTTATACAAACATTTTCAACCTACTGATTGTTGCCCAAAGTGTTTGGTAATAAAAAAAATTCAAATAATAATATAAAAATACAATACGTAATTGAAGATTGATGTCACACATTACTGATTCCAACTGACAATTTGTTTATGGACATTCAAATTACTTGTTTTGTTCAAGAGTATTAATATGAACAAAATCCTGTTTTGAGAATGTTTGCAAACAAAATAAATAGATACACAGACATAGAATCACAGAACTGGAAGGGACCTTGAGAGGTCATCTAGTCCAGACCCCTGCACTCATGGCAGGACTAAATATTATCTAAAACATTCCTGACAGGTGTTTGTCTAACCTGCTCTTAAAAATCTCCAATGATGGAGATTCCACAACCTCCCTAGGCAATTTATTGCTTAACCACCCTGACAGTTAGGAAGTTTTTCCTAATGTCCAACCTAAACCTCCCGTGCTTCAATTTAAGCCCATTGCTTCTTGACTTATCCTCAGAGGTTAAGAACAACAATTTTTCTCCCTCCTCCTTGTAACAACCTTTTATGTACTTGAAAACTTAAGTCCCCTCTCAGTCTTCTCTTCTCCGGACTAAACAAACCTGATTTTTTCAATCTTCCCTCATAGGTCATGTTTTCTAGACCTTTAATCATTTTTGTTGCTCTTTTCTGGACTTTCCTGAAATGTGGTGCCCTAATCAGTGCGGAGTACAGCGGAAGAATTACTTCTCGTGTCTTGCTTACAACACTCCTGCTAATACATCCCAGAATGACATTCGCTTTTTTTGCAACAGTGTTACACTGTTGACTCACATTTAGCTTGTGGACCACTATGACCACGAGATCCCTTTGCGCACTACTCCTTCCTAAGCAGTCATATCCCATTTTTGATGTGTGCAACTGATTGTTCCTTCCTAAGTGGAGTACTTTACATTTATCCTTATTGAATTTCATCAGACCATTTCTTCAGTTTGTCCAGATATTTTGAATTTTAATCCTATCCTCCAAAGCACTTGTAACCCCTCCCAGCTTGGCATCATCCACAAACTTTATAAGTGTACTCTATGCCATTTTCTAAATCATTGATGAAGATATTGAACAGAACCGGACCCAGAACTGATCCCTGCAGGACACCACTCATTATGCCCTTCCAGCAGGACTGAACCACTGATAACTATTCTCTGGGAAGTTTTCCAACCAGTTATGCACCCACCTTATAGTAGCTCCATCTAGGTTACATTTCCCTAGTTTGTTTGAGAGACAGTCATGTGAGGCAGTATCAAAAGCTTTAGTAAAGTCAAGATATACCACTACCACTCCCCCCATCCACAAGGCTTGTTACCCTGTCAAAAAAAGCTATCAGGTTGGTTTGACATGATTTGTTCTTGACAAATCCATGCTGATTGTTGCTTATCACCTTATTATCTTCTAGATGTTTGCAAATTGATTTCTTAATTATTTGCTCCATTATCTTTCCAGATACAGAAGTTAATCTGACTAGTCTGTAATTCCCCAGTTTGTACTTATTTCCCTTTGTATAGATTGGTACTATTTGCTATTTTCCAGTCTTCTGGAATCTCTCCCATCTTCCATGACTTTTCAAAGATAATCGCTAATGCCTCAGATATCTCCTCAGTCAGCTCTTTGTGTATTCTAGAATGCATTTCATCAGGCCCTGGTGACTAGAAGACATCTAACTTGTCTACGTAATTTTTACTTGTTCTTTCCCTATTTTAGCCTCTGATCCTACCTCATTTTCACTGGCAATCAATCACCACTAACCTTCTTGATGAAAACCGAAACAAAGAAGTCGTTAAGCACCTCTGCCATTTCCACATTTTCTGTTATTGTTTTCCCCCCCTCATTGAGTAATGGGCCTACCCTATCCTTGATCTTCCTCTTGTTTTAAATGTATTTATAGAATGTCTTCTTGTTACCCTTTATGTCGCTAGCTAGTTTGATCTTGTTTTGTGCCTTGGCCTTTCTAATTTTGTCTCTACATACTTGTGTTACTCATTGATATTCATCCTTTGTAATTTGATCTAGTTTCCACTTTTTGTATGACTCTTCTTTGATTTTTAGATCATTGAAGATCTCCTGGGTAAGCCAGGGTGGTCTCCTGCCATACTTCCTACCTTTCCTGTGCAGTGGGATAGTTTGCTCTTGTGCCCTTAATAATGTCTCTCTGAAAAACTGCCAAATGTCTTCAGTTGCTTTTTCCCTTAGACTTGCTTCCCCTGAGTTTGCTGAAGTCTGCCTTTTTGAAATCCACTCTTTATTTTGCAAAAAGAAAAGGAGTACTTGTGGCACCTTAGAGACTAACCAATTTATCTGAGCATAAACTTTCGTGAGCTACAGCTCACTTCATCGGATGCATACTGTGGAAAGTGTAGAAGATCTTTTTATATACACACAAAGCATGAAAAAATACCTCCTCCCACCCCACTCTCCTGCTGGTAATAGCTTATCTAAAGTGATCACTCTCCTTACAATGTGTATGATAATCAAGTTGGGCCATTTACAGCACAAATCCAGGGTTTAACAAGAATGTCTGGTGGGGGAGGAGGGAGGAAAAAACAAGGGGAAATAGGTTACCTTGCATAATGACTTAGCCACTCCCAGTCTCTATTCAAGCCTAAGTTAATTGTATCCAATTTGCAAATGAATTCCAATTCAACAGTTTCTCGCTGGAGTCTGGATTCAAAGGTTTTTTTGTTGTAATATAGCAACTTTCATGTCTGTAATCGCGTGACCAGAGAGATTGAAGTGTTCTCCGACTGGTTTATGAATGTTATAATTCTTGACATCTGATTTGTGTCCATTTATTCTTTTACGTAGAGACTGTCCAGTTTTGACCAATGTACATGGCAGAGGGGCATTGCTGGCACATGATGGCATATATCACATTGGTGGATGTGCAGGTGAACGAGCCTCTGACAGTGTGGTTGATGTTATTAGGCCCTGTGATGGTGTCCCCTGAATAGATATGTGGGCACAGTTGGCAACGGGCTTTGTTGCAAGGATAGGTTCCTGGATTAGTGGTTCTGTTGTGTGGTATGTGGTTGCTGGTGAGTATTTGCTTCAGGTTGGGGGGCTGTCTGTAGGCAAGGACTGGCCTGTCTCCCAAGATCTGTGAGAGTGTTGGGTCATCCTTCAGGATAGGTTGTAGATCCTTAGTAATGCGTTGGAGGGGTTTTAGTTGGGGGCTGAAGGTGACCGCTAGTGGCGTTCTGTTATTTTCTTTGTTAGGCCTGTCCTGTAGTAGGTAACTTCTGGGAACTCTTCTGGCTCTATCAATCTGTTTCTTCACTTCCGCAGGTGGGTATTGTAGTTGTAAGAATGCTTGACAGAGATCTTGTAGGTGTTTGTCTCTGTCTGAGGGGTTGGAGCAAATGCGGTTGTATCGCAGAGCTTGGCTGTAGACGATGGATCGTGTGGTGTGGTCAGGGTGAAAGCTGGAGGCATGTAGGTAGGAATAGCAGTCAGTAGGTTTCTGGTATAGGGTAGTGTTTATGTGACCATCGTTTATTAGCACTGTAGTGTCCAGGAAGTGGATCTCTTGTGTGGACTGGACCAGGCTCAGGTTGATGGTGGGATGGAAATTGTTGAAATCATGGTGGAACTCCTCAAGGGCTTCTTTTCCATGGGTCCAGATGATGATGTCATCAATATAGCGCAAGTAGAGTAGGGGCGTTAGGGGATGAGAGCTGTTGGCATATGCCATCATGTGCCAGCAATGCCCCTCTGCCATGTACATTGGTCAAAACTGGACAGTCTCTACGTAAAAGAATAAATGGACACAAATCAGATGTCAAGAATTATAACATTCATAAACCAGTCGGAGAACACTCCAATCTCTCTGGTCACGCGATTACAGACATGAAAGTTGCTATATTACAACAAAAAAACCTTCGAATCCAGACTCCAGCGAGAAACTGTTGAATTGGAATTCATTTGCAAATTGGATACAATTAACTTAGGCTTGAATAGAGACTGGGAGTGGCTAAGTCATTATGCAAGGTAACCTATTTCCCCTTGTTTTTTCCTCCCCCCCCCCCACCAGACATTCTTGTTAAACCCTGGATTTGTGCTGTAAATGGCCCAACTTGATTATCATACACATTGTAAGGAGAGTGATCACTTTAGATAAGCTATTACCAGCAGGACAGTGGGGTGGGAGGAGGTATTTTTTCATGCTTTGTGTGTATATAAAAGATCTTCTACACTTTCCACAGTATGCATCCGATGAAGTGAGCTGTAGCTCACGAAAGCTTATGCTCAAATAAATTGGTTAGTCTCTAAGGTGCCACAAGTACTCCTTTTCTTTTTGCGAATACAGACGAACACGGCTGTTACTCTGAAACCACTCTTTATTTTGCTGTTCTTCCTCTGACCATTCCTTAGAATCATAAGCTCTACTGTTTCATGATCACTTTCACCCAAGCTGCCTTCCACTTTCAAATTCTCAACCAGTTCCTCCCTATTTGTCAAAACCAAATCTAAAACAGCCTCTCCCCAGTAGCTTTCTCCACCTTCTGAAATAAAAAACTGTCTCCAGTACATTCCAAGAACTTGTTGGATAATCTGTGCCCTGCTGTGCTATTTTCCCAACAGACATACTGAACGTTGGTAAATAATTTAATTCACTGATCCATTTGTGAATAATCTTGATCTGCATTAACCCAATTTGTACATTTGTACTCTCATATAGTCACATATACCAAGTATCCCTTAATATTGCAAAACTACGAATGGGTTTCCACAGGTAACGGAAATACAACCATCAATATCAGGATTTGTCTTCATTCCCCCAAAAAACTTGTGTTTTTAATCTCAAGGTAACTAAGGTACATGAGCGACACCGAGGTGAAGACACAGGGAGGACAAGGCACTTCAGATTTATCGGAGGTAAATTCACAGATATCAGCACCAGACAGAGCTGATCTCAGCAAATTAACCTCACATTAAAACTGATGTACCACGATGTCTTCACTGTGTTTTTACCTTGGGATAGCTCAAGCATGCTAGTTACCGGGAGATAAAAAAATTCCAAGGTTTTTTAACAGCAAAGACAAGCCCTGCCGCCCACTGTGTTCCACTTTTCTGTTCGTCCTGCCACAGCATCCAGGTACCGTGACAAAAACATCATTACTAGCTCTGCTGCCTACATCACCCCTCACCTCACGAGAAGCAAGGGACATTTGTAACAGGAACCTGGGAGGTGCAAGAGAGGCACGCAGCCCGAGGGTGGGGAGAGCAGAGAACCCCTACCCCATAACCGAGCACAGACTCCAGACCCTGTTCTTCACCCTGGTGCGGCTGTCCCCGCATCCAGCCCCGCCAGCACTCCTCCCCGGCTTCTCCCACAGACTCACAGCTCCTCACCCCCACAGCCTGACTCTCAACCGCCCGACGCCCCTCCCCGCGCGGTAGCTCCCCCACCTCGGAACACCTCCCCCTTCCCATGACTTTAATCCCCACCCGAACCCCACGCCCCGCTCTGTCTCTCACCTCCTGCCGGGGTTTCCGGCCCCGGCCGCAGCAAACACGCACGGGACCAACGAAGAGACACCGATGCGCTGGCGGGGGGGGGTTGTCGCCCCGACACTACCACACAGACACACGGGCCACGTGACACCGCGAGACTGGCGCTGACGGATGACGTCACGGCAGGGCCAGGGCGCAAGGAGAAACCCAACGCTTCGCCCAGCTGCTTCCCCAGCATCGAGCGAGGACTCCAGACTCCGCCCCATGGGACGCCAGGCTCCGCCCCCATCCGTTTGCCACGCCCCTTGCGGGGCAGGACTGGAGGCGCACCGGTCACATGCAGGTCGATTTACGCCCCGGGCCTCGGGCTAGATGCCGGGCTTTTCCCTCAGTAGCTTCCCCGGGCTGATGAGTGTTTTCTCAAGCACTTCCCCCCCAGACAAGGGGCACCAGGAGCCCGCAGCTGCTGCTGCCTCCCCGCGCCCCAAGCGGGGTGCGCGAATCCCCCTTCAGCAGCTGCCATCCCCTCTCCAGTGGGTCCTTGGAGCTTCCCCACCCCCACGAGACGCCTCTCCCGTCAGCTTCCAGCAGCTGAAACAGGGCAGAGGACGGACAGAAGAGCCTGCAAAAGGCTGCAGATCTCCGATGCAGGGCCCCGGGCCGTCTGCAGTTCCTTTGCTGTGCAAACGCCATACGTGGCGACAGAAGGGTGCTGCGCCATCCTGGCTTTCCTCTCAAATGTTTACTGGTGCCGTGTTTCCAACATGAATGAGTAGTTTGTTACCAATGACAATTTTTTACTGTTTTTCCAAGAACTGCAGGCCCTGGACCTCATAATCGGAGTATTCATTAAAAAGAAACATTCTCGCCTTAAAAGGTTCCACAGAGTAACGCCTGAAAATTTGACCCAAGAGTAAACTATGCGCTCAGAAATGAAAATGAAATTTAAAAAAAACACCCATTTTTCTCATGATTCAAAATTCATAATTTTAAGCAATTATCATGATTGGGATGGGGGCCCAGAAAATGATCTCTAAATTACTTAGAATGAAAATACTTCTGTTTACACAAAAAACATTTAACATGAGAAATGCTCACAAAACAGCGTGCCACCCTGCTCACTCAGCAACAAAATTTAAAAAATTGTTCTCAAACAACATCGATGCCAAAATGAAAAAAATACATAAAATGAAGTGTTGACTGAAGACCATTACGAGTTAGTCTGAACATTTCTTTCTGTCAGAACATGCAAAAAGAAAAGGAGTACTTGTGGCACCTTAGAGACTAACCAATTTATTTGAGCATGAGCTTTCGTGAGCTACAGCTCACTTCATCAGATGTGTACCGTGGAAACTGCAGCAGACTTTATATACACACAGAGAATATGAAACAATACCTCCTCCCACCCCACTGTCCTGCTGGTAATAGCTTATCTAAAGTGATCAGCAGGTGGGCCATTTCCAGCACAAATCCAGGTTTTCTCACCCTCCACCCCCCCACACAAATTCACTCTCCTGCTGGTGCTAGCCCATCCAAAGTGACAACTCTGGGACTGGGAGTGGCTAAGTCATTATGCAAGGTAGCCTGTTTCCTCTTGTTTTTTCCTACCCCCCCCCAGATATTCTGGTTTTACTTGGATTTAAACTTGGAGAATGGTCAGTTTAGACCAGCAGGAGAGTGAGTTTGTGTGTGTATGGGGGTGGGGGGGAAGTGAGAAAACCTGGATCTATGCAGGAAATAGCCCGACTTGATTATGTAAAGAGTTGTCACTTTGGATGGGCTAGCACCAGCAGGAGAGTGAATTTGTGTGGGGGGGGTGGAGGGTGAGAAAACCTGGATTTGTGCTGGAAATGGCCCACCTGCTGATCACTTTAGATAAGCTATTACCAGCAGGACAGTGGGGTGGGAGGAGGTATTGTTTCATATTCTCTGTGTGTATATAAAGTCTGCTGCAGTTTCCACGGTACACATCTGATGAAGTGAGCTGTGGCTCACGAAAGCTCATGCTCAAATAAATTGGTTAGTCTCTAAGGTGCCACAAGTACTCCTTTTCTTTTTGCGAATACAGACTAACACGGCTGTTCCTCTGAAACCTGTCAGAACATGATGCACTATTTCACCGCAGGAAAGCAAGGGAGGCGTGGGAACACAATGGACATGCATGATGACCAGAGTGAACTCCTTCGCATGGTTTCCACCCACTCGGTGGGGCAGCACAAAATGCCCCTCAGGGATGAGAGGAAGGATGTCTTGGTATGCAAATGAGAGCAAGGCATCTTAGAAGTCAGAGTTCCAAGAACTTTCCAGACTCCAGTCCTCTGCGCCTGACAGAGGTGAAAAGGCATCTCATAGATTAATTACCTCAATGCGTCCTTCGCCCGCCAATTGGGTATGGTTTGACCCCGCCTGCCCAGCGCAAGCTACAGGAGATGCCGCTGCGCCAAAGGATCTCGCCGAGGGCAGGCAGGCCGCGGGGTGAGAGGCGCGGCGCTGAGGAGGAATTGGTAGGGAGGCGAAGGGCCGAAGGTGAGGCCCGCAGAGAAGAACGAGGCTTTCCTTTCCTGTTCTTCATCAGCCCTTGCTCGGTGTGGGAGTCCAGGCGTTTCCCGCCTCCAGATGGCAGGGGTGGTGACGGGGTTCCTGCAGAAGGACATTGTCCTCTGCTTCTTCTTCCTTTTCCTCCCCTTCTCTGCTTGTGGGCGCCTAGGCGGTCCCATAAAGGGGTCCCTGTGAATCAGGGCTGGGTGGCGTCTGCGGCAGCGGATCCTTTTGTCTCTGCGAGCCGGCTTGGGAGGCAGCCGGGTGTGGGGTATGCGGTGCCTGCCCAGCGCAAGGCGCAGGAGATGCCATTGCGCAAAGGAGGCCCCTCGGGTCCCTCCCAGGAGAGGCGAGGGGCAAAGCGGGGAGCACCGCAACAGGGTGCCTGCCCACCCAGCGGGACCTCCCCGGCTGCCGAGGGCCCTGCAAGCAGCACCAGCGAGGCGGGAAAAGAAAATATGGAACGCTTCACGAATTTGCGTGTCATCCTTGCGCAGGGGCCATGCTAATCTTCTCTGTATCGTTCCAATTTTAGTATATGTGCTGCCGAAGCAAGCACAGGGTGGAGTTTGGGTCCTAAGCTATAAATACCTCACAGAAGATAGAGGCTTCCCAGTTAGGGCGAGAGAGGCAGGCCCGGGAACTCCAGGGAGACACATGTGGAGCAGAGCCCTTGATTTTCTCCGTGTGTCCTTGTTCCTCCAACTGGGTATGGTTTGCCCCTGCCCAGTGGGGCAACACAAAACACCCCTATGGGAGGAGAGGACGGAGGTCTTGGTATGCGAATGAGAGCAAGGCATGCTGGGAGTCAGAGTCTCCTGTTTCAGAGGAACAGCCGTGTTAGTCTGTATTCGCAAAAAGAAAAGGAGTACTTGTGGCACCTTAGAGACTAACCAATTTATTTGAGCATGAGCTTTCGTGAGCTACAGCTCACTTCATCGGATGTATACCGTGGAAACTGCAGCAGACTTTATATACACACAGAGAATATGAAACAATACCTCCTCCCACCCCACTGTCCTGCTGGTAATAGCTTATCTAAAGTGATCAACAGGTGGGCCATTTCCAGCACAAATCCAGGTTTTCTCACCCTCCACCCCCCCACACAAATTCACTCTCCTGCTGGTGATAGCCCATCCAAAGTGACAACTCTTTACATAATCAAGTCGGGCTATTTCCTGCATAGATCCAGGTTTTCTCACATCCCCCCCCACCCCCATACACACACAAACTCACTCTCCTGCTGGTAATAGCTCATCTAAACTGACCACTCTCCAAGTTTAAATCCAAGTTAAACCAGAACATCGGGGGGGGGAGGAAAAAAACAAGAGGAAACAGGCTACCTTGCATAATGACTTAGCCACTCCCAGTCTCTATTTAAGCCTAAATTAATAGTATCCAATTTGCAAATGAATTCCAATTCAGCAGTTTCTCGCTGGAGTCTGGATTTGAAGTTTTTTTGTTTTAAGATAGCGACCTTCATGTCTGTGATTGCGTGACCAGAGAGATTGAGTGCAGTCCTCTGTGGCTGGCAGAGGTGAAGAGCCAAGTAGGGAGAGGGCGGGAGGAGAAGCGGGCCAAGTGTGTGTGAGGGCTCCTGGCCAGTGTGTGTCCGGCTAGATCTTGCCGAGGGCAGGCGGGCGGGCCGTGAGACGCCAGGTGCGGTGTTCTGGGCCTGGTGGAGGTGAAAGGCGAAGCAGTGAGCCCCCAAGAGAAGAGAGCTAGGTGCTGTGTGAGGGCTCCTGGCCAGTTTGCCTCCTGCTAGATCTTGCTGAAGGCAGGCTGGGCACGCAAGATGCCAGGCACCGAGGAGGAATCTTTAGGGAGGTATAGGGCCAAAGGCGAGCCCTTCAGAGAAGGCATAGGCTCGGTAAGTGGGGTCTGAGTGGTGCTGCATTACCCCCAAATTTTCTGTGGGGGCTGGGTGTTGTAGCTGTGCCCGGCTGCATACGTGGGGTCCTGGCTGCTGGCCCCATGCCCGGAGGTCCTAACTACTGGCCCCAGGCTGGGATTTCCTGCTGCCATTCACAGAGACGGGGATCTTCTCCTGGCCCCGTTTCTGTCCCCAGCCGTGGCCACAGCCTGAGCTCCCTTACCCCGTCCGTGTCCTCTGCCTCCTGGAGAAACAGCCCTAGTCCTGGCCTTTGCGGGGGCAGGGTGTGGGGTGGGAGCATGAGGTAAAAAATTTGGGGATAGTTTTGCTCACTTTCAGCATCCTCACTATCAAAAGCATTCCGGCGCCAATGTGGCTTTCCTTTCCCATCCTTCAGCTCTTCCTCGATGTGGGAGTCCAGGTACTTCCCACCTCTAGGTAGTAGGAGAAGTGAGGGTGGCAACGGGCTCCCTGCGGAAGGATATCCTCCTCTGCTTCTTCTTCTTCCCCCTCTTTGTCTGTCGTTGGCCAGTCCTGAAAAGGGTCCTTGCCAGGCAGGGCTGGGTCCTGTATGCTTATCGGATGTGGTAGCGGGTCACCTGAAATTTCTCAAAGTCAATAGCTTACAGGCCTATGATCTGAGTCCCTTAATCCAAGGGTTTTAATCTTAATGATGGTCAGACCAGGGTTGAATGGCCCATTATTAATTATTATTATTTAGTCTTGCATTAAAATAAATATTTCTGAAATATATATTGTTAATCATCCTCTTCATTTTTTAATTCGTCTCTGATTGTTATCCTTGTTACAATAAGATCTGGTAGGTAGTTAGTGGGGGTTTTTTATATTTGTCCATCTCCTAACGTAATGAGGCCTCCATCCCCGGGATGGGCCTCTTTTTCCTCCTTTGATAATTGTGATGATTCGTAGATTTCCATGCCAGAAGGGACCTTTGTGATCTGAGCTTATGGTCTGAGCTTGTGGTCATAGAACTTCCGCAAAATAATTCCTAGCACATATTTTCCAAAAACAATCTAATCTTGATTTCATAATTGACTGTGATGAAGAATCCACCATGACTCTTGGTAAATTGTTTGACTCCTTAATTACTCTCACTGTTAAAAATGGATGCCTTATTTCCAGTATGAATT